GGCTAATAATTGATCAAGGTAGAAAAGATGCTTGCTTCACATCTTCAATTAACCAGGTGGACATGGTTGAAACTCCTGCAGATAAGGTTTTACAAATAAATAAATTACTAATACTCAGTGTCTAGTGTTTCAAATTGCTGTTCACTAAGCTGATGGTTTCTGTTACATTTTATTATTATTTTACATTATTTTATTATTTTTTACATTTTATTATTATTTACATTTCCCTATATGTTTAAACTGACATTTAACTGATAATTTGAGTGTTTTCAATATTTTGAAGAAACACTGTAAAGGTTGAAGAATGATAGTTATTTTTAATGACTGCTATGGAGATTCCCAGAGTTTCAGTTTGCATGGTCATTTTTACAATCCTGCCCTTCCATGGAGAGTGATGACTGCCTGTTTCCAGGACAATATGATGTTCATAACTGCTAAGGAGAGAAAATATCTCAGGTTATGGGGCACTTGTTTTTTTTTTCTTTCTGTGTTTGAGGCATAGGACACTTAGGTAAAGAGAAAGGAGAATAACTATTTGTATTAAACCATTTGAGTTTCCTTTGAGAAACTCAACAGGGCTGTGGAGGAGGGGTAGATAAGAAAAAGAAGACAGAATGACTCTTGAGAGCAAGGACTTGGGGTACTTGATGGCCAAGCCCAAGGCAATGGAGGATAGCCATTGTGACATGTTCAGGTGGGGCTTGCTTGTCACATTCTGAGGGGGTGTCATGAGATGCTACACAGAGGCAGGTCTGCAGACTCAGCCATGGGACATTGAGGGCTGACAGAGGAGCATCAGGAGCCTGTGGGCTGGTGACTGTTCTGGGAGAAGGTATTTGGAGCAGCATCTATAGAGGCTTCTCAGTAGCTCTTTTCTCTCAGGCTGAGCACCATGGAGCAGGAGGAAGGTGGCAGAGACTGAGGGTCCCAGGTAGCATGGAGTGATGAAGGATCTGTGGGAAATATGTTCCCCTTTCGTTTTTTTGTTCCCCTTTGTTAGGGTTTTCTTTGGGGTTTTGGGTTCTTGTTTGGCCCTTGTTAGATGCCTGTCTTGAGTGGACCAGCAGCCCAAGAACACACCTGTCAGCCTCTCCTGTGTCCTGATTCCCTGCAGGTTGGTCACACTAAGAGTCACAAGGGGAGCAGCCCTGAGAGCAGCCCACCTAGAACTTCCCAACATTGCTCCATTAGGAAGAACCTTCCTGTCCATGGATGCGTAGCATTGGACTATTGGTCTAAACTAGAGGTGCTATCCAAAAGACACACTTAATCTGCTGCCCCTCGTTGCATTCCCTCAGCTCATCATCTCTGGAGCCTCAGGACTCAGTGGACACCCATTGCCAACTCTTGACCTTCTCATCTCCTGCTCACCCCACACACTTCCTGGGAGCTGGGACCCCACAGGAGTTGCCTGAGATCCTGAGGGTGCTGAGGGATGTGTGCCTGGTTTTCTAGACCCACTGACTCTGAAGCTGTGCACAGGTGGGATGACACTCCCCCTGGCCCTGCCCCTTCTGCAGGCTGTTGTCCACCTTTTCTCCTGGGTACTTACAGTCAGGACTTCTGCTTCCTGTGGATGTAGATGGCAGAGACA